TGGATCGCTACAGTACGAGCCGAGCAGCCGAGCCGACAAGCCGCTCGGCTCGATTGCCATCACTAAGGTGTAATGATCCATTCAATTTTAGAAGGCATGCTGCACTTACATCATGGTTAACAACTTTGCTTATACTTTTAGACATATGCAATTTTATCATTAACTTTAACAATACTTATTCAAATCAATTACCTCGATTTGACACTTCGAAGGTGTCAAACTAGTTCTACACCACAAAGGTACATCTAGCTTAATTCTTATAAGAGAAATTGAACTTCTGACAAATGTATTGTTCCATCGAAATTGTTTAATGCGTTTTTTACTCTTCAAAAATGTGAAATCTCTTTACTAATGAATGAATGATAATTATATTTCATGTAGTTATGATTATTATGAATATTTTACCCCTCCAACCCTAGTTCTTATCTATAAATATAAGATTCTGATTCTCAAAAATATATATAAACAAATCTATTGATTTTCTCTATTTTTTGTTGACATTTTTCTCTAGTTTATTAAAAAGGCATCATAATTATCATAGAAATGCTTGACGGGCCTATAATTTTGTTAATCAATAGTTTTATGGGTTAATTACGATAATGTTTACTAAAGTTTCTAGTAATTACGACAATGATCATTGAGTTTACTATATGATCAAAATTAAAGTCACGTTACGTTTCTCATATGAATAAATTTAAAATTCCTAACTCCTTAATTTTTCTAACTTGATGTAACAAATAACGTTATTTGGTAATACATTGACACTTTTTTTTTTTCTAACGAGTGATCATTAGTATAATTGTTAAAAACTCGAGTGATTATTATCACAAGAAAATAATTTCAAAAAAAATTGACACAATTACTTAGAAGTTCATTAACCATTAATATAATTAACCCTCACCAAACGTACCAAACATGTCATACACTCCAACATTGCCTTCTTTGATAAATGTTCTACGAGCGTTGTAATTAAATGATTGTTTGTTATTATTAGATGAATTGCGGCTCATTCTCATTAAGCTAAGAGCATGCTTCAATGGATTCCTAAAAAAAGTTTACCACAAATTCTTTCCAATAGAAAATGATAGGATATGAATATCTATCAAGCTAGTGTGTCAAAGAAAAAATAAACGATATAGAATAATACTATGTGTACACCCAATGGTGTACACAATGCATTACACCCCCCTCGCACGGAGGGGGTATCATTGTGTACACATATTACAACCCAAAGATAAAAAGGGTGAATACAACAAAGATGGATAAATATTGGCCGTATATAAATGTCGCTCATGAAGGTGTGCAGGGCTACGGCGCCTGGTTCGGTTGGGTTTGGCCTATGAGCATTAATATCATCAACTACCTTTTAACTGTTGGTTTCTGACTTCCCACCACCACTCCATTTCTATAGCCTCTCTCTTCCAATCAATTGTTAACTAAACTGAATTCTAATCCATGGAAACTGTAGATAATATGAATGAGTTTCAAGATTGGGAG